ACCTAATGTATACAGACTTTGGGTGATACGATGTGTCCATGTAGGATCAGCAGTTATAACCAATGTCCCGCTCTGGTGGGGGCTGTTAACTGTTGACAGTAGGGGAATCTTGGTGGGGTGGGTGGGGGTTGGGGGGAGGCAGGAGGTATATGTGTAATCACTGAACTTTCCATTCAGTTTTGCTATGAACCTAAACTACTCTAAAACAGTACATTAAAAAAGTTCTCTGGTGCCACCTCTAACTTCATTTGGGTTCTTGCCCTTAGTGCTGCGGTGGGCGTTGGTTTCTATGGAAACAGCGAGACCAACGATGGGGTGTACCAGCTGATCTACTCCTTGGACAACGCCAACCACACCTTCTCCGGGATCGATGCGCTGGTAAGGCTCTGGGCAGCTGGCCGGGCCGGGCCGGGCACAGCGGGTGAGGTCAGTGTGGACAGAACAAGGGCCCAGTCAGATCCCGCCCGCTCGGCCCCGGAGGAGGAGGGCGTGCTGGGCTCCATTTGGGGCTGCAGTTGGGTGCCAGGAGCAAACAGGCAACTTCTGCTTCCCGGGCGAGAGGGGTGCCAGGGCTGTGAGGGCCAAAGGAGGAAGGCTGCTGGGCCCTGTGGGGGCGTGGGGACAGGGTGGGGTCAGATCCCACTCATCTTCAGGAGCGCTGGACACCTTCCCACCGGGCCAGGGAGGCCCAGGGTGTTCCTGCGTTCACATGTGGAGTATCATGGGGTCCAGGAGGTGTCAAGGGGAAAACTCTTCAAAAGCAGCCAACCATGAAAGGCCCGCCCGGCCGGGCGGTCAGACTGCCCGGAGCCCGGCACGGTGTCCTCCGGCTCTGGCTCCTGAGCGCCGTGGGCCCAGCTGGGGCTCAGGGTGACGGATTGTGCTGGGGTGGCCAGAGATGTCGGACTTTTAGGGAACGAAGGAGCTGCTCTGCTGAGCCTTTGGCCTGAGAGACAGCGACGGGAGGGTGGGGCGTCTGGGTTTCTCAAATGTAGACCCTGGCCCCCAAGTGTGCCCACCTTCACTGGCAGGGCCCGGTCACTTGGGCTGATCTTTCAGGCAGCCCCGGTGCCCGAGGAGGCAGGCTCCAGGGCAGTTCTCAGGGAAGCCAGT